TTTTTTTTTTGCAAAATTTACGATGATTTACAGTAGTGAGCGCATAACTTAGGTGTAAAGCACCAATCATTCATGCAGTTAACGACCTGACTACTTCACGTTTTTTATTATGCGTTTTGTGCAATGTAACAGCAGTACAAAACGAATATTGTCACGGGGTTTGTTCTGTGTGTGTCCGCAGCAAGTTATCCGCAACTTCCAACTCGGGAATCACAAAAGCTAGGAAGCTGAAAATTTAGGAGAATATTTCCTACTCACGTGTGACCCCGCAAATTTAAATCCAGCTTCCCCGTCCTCGCGGGTAACACGTACGGTTCCGTAAAAATTTTGGTGAAAACAATTATTATCTCGGAATCACGGGAGCTAGAAAGCTAAAATTTTATGGGTATGTCCCGTGCCCGCTTGCGATCCTGTAAATTGAAATTGAGCCTCTCCGTACCCGCAGGTAACATGTACGGTAACATAAGAGTTTTGGCGGCAAACTATTATCTCGGGAACTGTGGAATCTCGGAAATTGAAATTTCAGGGTGATGACTCCCTGCCTACTACTTACTACCTCACAAATTCAAATCTACTGTCCCCACGCTGTCGGGTATCACCTATCGCCCCATGAAATTTTTATCGGGTAAATTATTATCTCGGGAACCACGGGATCTAGGATGCTGAAGTTTTATGGGTATGTCCTCCGCCCATATGTGGCCCAGAAAATTTAAATTCAGCTTTCCCATGCCCGCGGGTAACATATGCGGTTCGGTGAAACTTTTGGCGGATAAATTATTATCTCGGAAACTGCGAAATTTAGGAAACTGGAATTTTGGGGACTTTTCCCTGCTCACTTGCAACCTCTCAGTTAAATTCAGAGCAGTGAAAATCATTAGCAGGCAGCCGTTCAGTGGCCGCACCGGTTGTCGTGGTACGTGCCGCTATTTGAACTATTCTGTTACCACTGTGTTGTGGGCGTTCCTCAAAAAATCGATTGCTTTGACCAGTGCTGCTTCGCTTATTGGTCACTTTCTGAGTTGCTTTGTCCAGTTCTGTTGCATCGCTTACTGGTCATTTTGTTGGCGGTACTGCGTCCAGTTAGTCTGCTCAAGAGGTTACTAGCGCAACGGGTATACCGGCAAATGCTTTGATCAGCTGCTATTTTTGTTCAGAGATTTTAAGAGATTCAGCTGCTTAGAACCGCCTGGGACTGACATACGGACACGTGAAAATTTTGGTTCCGGTTCTTTACTGAAAAGTGGAAATATTGCCAGAGCGGTTGTTCGTCAAAAAATCCTTCACTTTTATTCTTGCCGTTGATATGGATAAGCAATTTCTCCCCCTCCCCTTCCCGTTTTCTATTTTTGATCTCTCCTTCGTATAAGCTTAAGAGAATTCTTCCACCCCAGCAGGGATTTCTATTTATCATTGCTGTGATCTTTTGTTATCCTTCTAAGCCGCTTGTGAAGAAACCCATAATATTCACAGACTCATTCTTCCCCCCTAAAATGCAAGGGCTTCTTTGCTTGGGTGGTTCCTGGGCCTTTTGATGGTCCGTTATCGAATTATACTTGAATTAATTTGTAGGTGCGTTACTTGAAACGCCGTCATCTCATTCCTCGTCGTACACTAACCACTGGCTCAATGGCTACCAGTGATGCTGGCGAGAAAAGTGGCGCAGTAAAATCGTCCGTCGAAGAAGCAGATTCGGAGCATCGTTATCGTGAGGCATCATCATCACCAAACACAAACGTCCGTTTTGGTTTTCTCGTCTTTTCTGTTTATTTTTAAGCATTTGAAGGGG